TGGCTAAATGACCACTCAATCCCCCCTCACCGTAAGACACTGTCACACTACACCAATTCACACCACACATTCCACACCTACATACCATACATTCCACATCACTACACCATGCACCAACACGCACACAAATACAACTAACACCGATCACACCACCATGAAGACATCAACAGATATATAAGGGACCAAAGAAGGATCCGCTGCCCTTTTTGCATCGACTCGCTAGCGATTAGTTCCTTGAGCACCCGCCGAAATCGACTCTCTTTCTTTTTCAATTATTTTGTCTAAGGTGTGAAGTGAAAATTAATTTATTAATTAAATAAACATGGTCCTTCGACCTAGTGGACGGCACTATGGGGTACAAAACATAAAAAAAAGAAAAATGTTTAAATAACGTGGAAAAAATATAATAATAATAAAAATTAACAAACAGTGAAAAAAAGAACCGGTGCATTCAAACAAACAACAAGTGCAGTGAAAAAAAAACAAACAAAAAAAAAAAATATATCTATATGTATGTACATAGAATTGTATTGTATGAACAGAACGCAAAGTGCAGTGGACAGTGAAAACAAAAAACATCTAAAGTGCGGTGAGAGTATTAAACACATTATATAAAAAGTTATTATACATACATATATGCACAGTGTTTTCCGAAAAAAAAAAAAAATTTATATATATATACCTATACATATATATCAAACTAAAAAACCTCCTTATATGCATATTAAAACATAAAATAAACAGTGTCTTAAAGTGGTGTGACAAATCATAAAAAACAGAGAGTAAAAGTGTCATAATATTAATTTACATACAAATAACAACAATAAACACAAACGGGCGCGAAAATAATCACAAAGCAATTGCGGGCGCGATCCTAAAACCAAATTTAATCTTACAAGTTATAACAAACAACACATACGGGCGCGAATTAACAAAACAATACACAAAGGCAACCTAGCATCCAAACTCAGAAAACAGAGGACAAAGGAATCGGAAAGAAACACAGAAGAACAATAGACGTACATACACGTAACTAATTACCACTCGCAAGTACATATATTCCCCACAAGCCCTTGGAGGAAATCAAAGTGAGTCCATTCGATTCCTTTTCTTATATTTATGCATACATATGTATATTCATTGCGAATTACAGATTATATTTTGAACAAAAAACTGTAATAAAACATTAAAAAACCGTTCAATATCTTGGTAACGGGTGCCAATTTGGTGTAACGTACCGGTTTTAAATTGCGGGTTAAAATAACGAAAACCGTTATTGTATTATATATGTACATTCATACACACATATATACGACAGATATATATGTATATAATATATAATAATTGACTACCTGCTTACCTTCGTGTATTAAAACACAATATACAAAAACAAAAAAAAAAACAAATTTAGTATTTCAATACTTACAAATTTTCCGGCAATACCCCTTACGCTTAATTAAGCAGTAAGCAGGATTGCGGAATATATGTGAGCAAAGGAAAAGTCAAACTTAAGCATAAAAGGCAAAATAAATACATACATATATACAATAAACGAAGTTAAACGGAAAAAAGAAAAAAAAAAACAAAATATATATATATATATAGTACCAAAAGGAGTACTCATTTACTTCTAACATATATATAACAATTATATATGTAAAATTATATACAGTGCATAGTTACGTATACATACATATGTATTCTAAATATTAAATATTAATCATTTATATCGTATACAACATATCGTATTTTTCATACATATGTATATATCTTATACATCATTTATACATATAATAAAAACCTTACATACGTACATACAGTGCTTATTAAAATTGCGACATTACCTGCTTATGCCAATTTCTCTCTCGCGCTCTTTTACGATTATACTTGATTCTTTTTTGCTTTACTTACAGTATACAATACGCTTATACTTATATACCCTATATATGTACATAGGTAAATACGGTTCGGTAAATAAACGCGGATTATTTAATAAAAATCATACTATTTATATAAATAATACAAAAATTTGAACAATATACATACTATTGGTTCAAACTAAATTTATATTTATATTCAAAGTCCACTTTGGCATATATCCCGCAATACCCCTTGCAGCAAGCAAGCAGGATTGCGTACAAAATTTTCCAGCACAAATAATTCGTGCTTACTAGTACATAGGTACAAAGTGCATTGATCTCTTCAACGAGCTCTCAATTGCACAAGTACATATATACATAACTACAAGTCCAAGCATTAGGGTATACCTACATACCCCTAAATAAGGACATCAAAAAATAAAAATAAATAGATAAACAATTTATTCAATACATTGTTAATTAAATTAAAAATAAATACGCACCGGTATCTATAACAACTGAATCCGGGTATTTCAGTTATTTTCAAATTAAGAACGCTAATTAACAAAAAAAAAAAAATTTTCCGGTTATACATATATACGAAAATTAATCTTAATTTTGTTTAAAGTGGAAAACTCTACTCACTAAAAAGAGCTTTCGTTCAGATTTCTATATACGAAGAAATTTCCTGAATTATCATCAGTCGACACTGAGGAATTTTGAATTATTTCACACAATTTTAAATGAGCTCAGACTCAAAGAATCAAAAACATCTCAATTGTTAAAAGTACCAAAGATGATTTCAGATGATAAAGTCCATGTACACTGCAGAAGCTACACGCTCAAACAAGGTGCTACAAAACAAAACGGTGAAAGATATTTCATACACCAATTTATCTTTGGAGTGACAGTATAATACGATACTGCACTCGATTTTCATCTTCGCGATTCAGGACAATTCTGAACGGTATTAGAATTAAAAGACATCTTGACAATTTTGGCACGTCTCCAAGCTGCATATGACGCAATCGTAGAATCTGACGACTCAGATCTACCTGAAAATTTTAAATCCTCGGCTTACGCCAAGACGAAAACTGCTTAGACCAGTTTGAAGAAACAAAGCTATGATTTCTGATCAATTAAAGCTAATAAAAGCGATTGCACCTACTCCGCATCCGAGAGTAGAGCTGCCACAAATTCAAAGTCATGAAGCAAGTTCAGGCATCCATCCAAGGTGCCACATGTGATACAGAAATCTTTCATGGTGGTTATGAACAATGGCCGTCCTTCCGGGACATGTTTAAGCCGTTTACATAAACCACCCAAATTAACAAATGCGCAAAATTGTATCACCTCCGTACAAAACAAAGGTCAAGCAGGCGTCATAGTAAAACAGTTCGCACTAAATGACGATAATTTCATCTGGCTTGGGAAGCTCTAAAAGCGAGATACGAAAATGAAAAGATATTGGTCGATAAGCAGTAACGATACTAATAAACTTGCCTAAATTCAGAAAGAACAAGTGATGAATTCATTACTACAATCCACTGTTTCTAATTGTTTGTCGGTTTTATCGACACAAAATATCCCACAGACAGCTGGGCCTATTCTGGTAATATATGCACCGCGGCATTACCAGAAAATCGTTACTTTGTGGAGCAATCGCTCTCATCTCGGAAAAATGCCCAACGTGGCAGCAAATGAAGAATTTCTAACTACCCAATATGAAATGCGAGGGTAGACAAAAACTAGTTAGAACTAAAACGTTCAAAACGATCTCAATAGGCTTTAATAGACCCCAAACCAGTAGCAATAACCATTTAAATAGAAGTTTCTTTAAAATCAATCGTTCACGTCAGAACAGTATAAACAAACGTCATGCGAACTGTGTACAGGAGGGCTAAAATTAAATCTGCGATAAATTCAAAAATTAAATATTGTCGATAGGAACAATTTGTGAGAACAAAAGACTTTGTACAAATTGCCTATCACATGCACATACACTTAAGAGGTGCGAAAGCAAATTTAATTGCGTTATTGTCTATAACGACATCATTCAATGCTGCATACAGCACATTTTCCAGCTCACCCCAAACAGCGCAAATATGAAAGAGCCACGGGTTTAGTTGCAACGCAAATCCCGAAGTGCGAAATCCCGATAATTGCCAAGAAGCACCATGCTGCTCAAAGGCATTAAAAACCAAACGCTACACAGCGAAAACCAAAGTAGGGTACTACTACCCACAGCAGTCGTCTCCATCGAACACGAGGAGAGCTGTTTAAACTTAGGGCCTTATAGACCAAGGATCACAACGATCCTTCATAGCGTCTAGGGCACAAAATAGGCTACAACTGCCAACAAAACAAGCAACTTTGAAATTACAGGAATGGGCGGAAGAGTAGTTCAAAACTCTATAAAATCTGCCCCATTACCTTAATTTCCCCCAAGCGGATAAGCACATACAAGCAGAAGCTATAGTCTTACCGCAACTTACAAATATGCTTCCAAGCTATCACATACATAGCAAGCATTGGCAAAAGGTTTCACACCTAAAGCTAGCAGATCCCAACTGCAACACTCCGTCAATAGACCTTCTATTAGGAAGCGACTCATACCACAGATTATACTCGAAGGTATTGAGAAAATATCAAATCACTTCTGGCACAAAATACTATTTTCGGTTGGATCCTAAGTGGACTAGTTCCGGAACCAGTTACAACCATGACTACTCAGGTTGAGGAAATCTCAAACGAATACCTCAATTCGCAATTAAAGAATTTTGGGAGTTAG